AAGGAGGTTTACTGTTCTTCTGGTTCTGAGGACCATTCAGGTTCCTGTCTGTTGTTCCGATGATCCTGGGTTCCACAATGAAGGGCTCAGGCTTCTTCCATCCTGTGTGGTAGGTCCAGAGAAAGGGTGGGAGATGTCCTCTGAGTTCTCAGCCTCCGATGGCATTCCGGTTCCCCGTGGTCTCTTTGGCAGTTGGAATGCAGTCCTTGGTGCCTGTACTGACAGTCTTTGGTGGGGATCTGGGAGTCTTCCGGTTTGGGACACGAGTCTCCTCCTGTTCACCTGCTCCACTCTGGGTGCCTCCCCTGCTTTGTTCATGTGACCACCTGTTAATAGGTTGCTAGGATCTCTTTTGATTCCCCCTGTATGTCTGTGTTTTTACCATTGTCTAATTCTGTTTTGAGTCCATTGTCAATAGGTTACCTGCTATGCTCCTGTAGGGTTACTCTACACGTCTTTCTCACACCTTCAAAGGAAATGGAAGACTTCCCTGCTCTCCTGCTCCATTTCTGAGTAGCACAAAGTTTTGACAGTATATTAGGTATTGCAATTTTTCACAACACATGGTTTGAGACAGTATTGATTACAGGTTCATCTGAGGAAGATTAACTGTCATTGGGGATCGTTAGGATTGTTTCATGTTCACAAAGCACTGAGGGTTCAAAATGGAGCTAGCTAAGCAGCAAACAAAGTACAGAATTCCCAGAGCTCCCCGGCCGGGCGGCCAGCAGGCCTGGCTCCCCAGTTCTAAGTTTACTTAATATTTTCATTTTCTTTCTCAATGGCATTATACCCTGAAAAACCACTTTAAATTTTATTGTAGTTACTCTATACATAAGTATAGTGTATGGTTGTTTTGTTGAGGTACTGACTTATACCTGACTTTCTCCAGGGAACCTCAGCAGAATTACCTCAGTCCACCTAAGGCTCTTAGAGCATTTAAGGTACTTAATTGCTTTAAGGATCAAATCTGTGTTCTCTGATACATTTCATAATGTTACCCTTTCATTTTAGAAGGACATTTTTATTTTCAGTATGATTTCTCCATTGTAAATCAAAAGAGCCTATTTTAAAATGACACAGAAGCTTAGGAGGTATATGAATCTTTTCTATGAATCTGAATAAAGGTGAGATATTGAAGATTGGATTTGATGGCTTTAAAGGAACCAGATTTTATGTCTTGCTATTTTGAAATTTCTAAGGAAATATTGAAAGAGGAAATGGCTTGTGCTCTGTGATATCATTAGTACTATTTTTATTCTCTGAAGTTCAAAGGTTTGAAGGTTAAGAAAATCATATGCAAAAATGGGGATATTCATATCTAATGTATATTCACAGTATGCTTTTTTAAAAGAAGCACACTTGAAGAATGTGTTTCCAAATGCTGAAAAGGGTGCACATATGGTGGGAAGAATAAGGAAATGATATAGAATTTTAACAGTTCCATGATATATATGTGTTTTAAAAAATAAAAATGTAAAGCAATCATTTCAAGCTATTAAAACTCAAATATTCTATACTTAAAGATTTCATTACTTTATTTTAAAGATTAGAAAATTACAAGAAATTAATTTGTATCTCTGAATCATTCAGACGTGATGAACTGATTAGGTCCAGTTTTTCCGTGAGGTTTTACTTCGTGTCCTTGCACTTCACACAATTGAAAATACCTTCCGTATAATAAGGAAAAATGATATTTCATCTTGCAAACTAGGTTCTTAATTATGAAAATCCACAGCTTATTTTAAAGGGAATATTTTTCCATCCCCCTGAGGAGGGTTTTTAATACGAAATTATATTAGAAGTGAAGGATGATGGATCTTTTCTAACATGATGATATGCAGAGTTTAAATCCTACACCAAACTGAGCAGCTATTGTAACAAAAAATGCACAGGGCTTTTCATTTTCTATGCCTCTAATGAAGGGAAAGGAAGGAATTATTTTTGGTCTGTGATTCTGGTTAGTATCGAAAGCTTTGAGCTGTATTGATCTGTTAGATCTTGTTGTGTAGCAACAAGTAATCACTTTCATTTACTTTGGTAGATTCATGAGATTCTCCATGCTTTTCCATTTGCATTAGTAGGGAGCTGTATTAGAACTAGTGCATCTAAAACTTGAACTGGGAGGCCAGTGCTGCAGGGCAGCAGTGTAACCCACTGTGCTTAGCACTGGGTTCCCAAAGTTATGCTGTTTTGCTTGTGCTTTTTATGTATCCTCATGCAGTCTCATAAGTCCTATTAGAAAAAGAAGGGAGTGTGATAAATGGGACAAAAATTCATGTTAACATCATAGTAATGTTAACAGCAAAAATAATGATGAATGATGATTAAAAAAAAAAACAGATGAACCTACACAGTCAGAATCTTTAGAGTGGTGAGACCTAAGCTTAGATGTCTTTCATCAGCTCTTTAGCTGTTTTTGATACAAATGTTTGATTTTTAATCACTCTGCTGGACGATGTTGTCTTTTTAATTTTTAGTGTGTTGTGTCATGTAGCTATATGACATTTTTTCCTCTGGAATAATCACTGTCAAGAGTTTTCTTACATTTACCTCTTTAATATTAACTTTTTTTTTATTATTTTTTTATTGGAAGAGCAGATATACAGAGAGGAGAAGACAGAGAGGAAGATCTTCCATCCAATGATTCACTCCCCAAGTGAGCGCAATGGCCGATACTATGCCGATCCGAAGCCAGGAGCCTCTTGTGGGTCTCCCACGCGGGTGCAGGGTCCCAAAGCTTTGGGCCGTCCTCGACTGCTTTCCCAGGCCACAGGCAGGGAGCTGGAAGGGAAGCGGGTCTGCCGGGATAGAACCGGCGCCCATATGGGATCCTGGGCGTGCAAGGCGAGGACCTTAACCACTTGTGCCACCGCGCCGGGCCCTAATATTAACTTTTAAAAGTTGGAGCCAAGGACCACAGCTGTTGCATTGCACATAGAGGTTCCACTTGGAACACTAGGATCCCATGTGGGTACTGGTTTGTGTCCCTGTTGCTCATTTTGTAATCCATCTCCATGCTAATACTCCTAGAAAATTAGAGAAAAATAGCCCGAATACTGGACCTCTGCCCAAGAGATCCACTTGGTGATCCACTTAAGGATGCTAGTTTCAAAATGGCCCATCTCCAGCTGTTGTGACCATTTGGGGAGTGACCCAAGAGTAGGAGCTCACTGTCCTCCCTCTCTTTCAATGTCTCTCCCTATTCCTTTGTCACTCCCTTTTTCTCTCTAACTCTTCCTTTCTAATAAAGAAATCTTTTTAAAAAAGATTTTATATGAGTACAAATGTTCAAAAATATATATCTGCATATACACATCCTATATATACATACTTGATTTCTTTAACAATTTCATTATCAAAGCAACCTATAAACAATTATCTTTGCTTTGTCTTTTGTTGTTATTGTTTGCTGAGCAGTCAGTCTGTTTTAGCACAGTCCTCAATGGAAATAAGCTATTCCCACCAGGCACCGTCTCACTAAACCCTGCTGACAGTGATGAATTCGGTTTTGACCATTATAGCTTTTGGCAGCACAAAATGTAATACTCATGATGTTTGTACAGAGTTTAAAATTCATAAATGGAGGAGTAAATAAAATTAATAAGGTGGTCCAAATTTTGATTATGTATCAAAGTCATCCCTTTATGGCTATGGGAATTTGCTGAATTCAAGTGTTATTATTTCCTTATTGTACTTATGTTTCAACACAAGTCTATTCATATGTTCTAAGTCAGTGCTTTGTTAATTAAAACACTGAAGTAATTAAGAGTTCTATTTTAATTTTGCTTTTAAAACAGATTTATTGCCAGTGCGAACAAAAGCAAATTTCTTTGGTTTTCTATCTGCTTAAAATGTGGAATGCTAGAGAAGGCACTGGTTTGGATGCTGGTTCCATGTTGGAATTATTGGATCTGTCATTCTACTTTCCAGTGCATGACTCTAACTTTTCTGCTAATGCAGATTCTTGGAGGTACTGGCGATTGGTGACTCAACCTGTTGGGTTCTTATCAGCTGTAGGAAACCAGGATTGAGTTCCCTGCTACAGATTTTGGCTTCACTCAGTCCTGGCTGTTTTGGGCATTTGGAGAGTCAACTGGTTAATAGGAACACCCCCTTTTCCTCTCAAACAAATAAAAAGAATTTTTAAAAAGAACTTGAATTGGGCATCAAAAAATTTATGAAAGATTTTAATGCTTTAAATGAAAGCACCTGTAAAAGTTTAACTTTCCTTTGATATAAGTGACACAAAATGCATATGGAGCTGGTAACAACATCATCAACTTAAGACAAAGAACATCTAAGAAGAAAGTTGTTTATATTTTATGGCACTATAATTTTACAACAGATCAATTTTTGTATACCATGACTACTAATAGTTTGCTTAAATCTGATGCACTATTTTAGTCCTAGCACACTGTGTGTGTGTATACTCTTAAAAATTACCATGTTACTTAAAAATTGCCATGTTACTGTTTCTGAATTCCTGTACCTTATCTGATGACTGTCCTCCCTGGATTCAGGCCTTTTCAAATATGATACACTGTGATGATCCCTAGCTTGGCTTTTTGGAAGAACTCACCAAATGAGAAAAATGCATTCTTAATAAGCATCTCTGATTATTTATATTGTAGGGTTTCTTATTTTAAAATGGAATGTACACATTTTGGTCCCTGTGAAAGTAAAACTGATTGAATTGAAAGATAGGAATTACTGTCATTAAATAAATGAACATTTTAAGTAGGAGGGAAATGCAAAATAAACAGAAAAGGTGGGGAGAACCCTTACTCCTACTCTGTTTGAATTACTAATAAGAGGAACCCTCAAATGAGCAGAAGGGGTTTTCTGAAGATCTTTCTGTTTTTGTATTGGGGATAACTTCCCCGTTGTTGTATATGTTGACGTATCACAGAGAATGACTGTTTAATAGATAAGCTACCATCCATGTCTCAAAAGTTAATTCCCCATGTTCTTTGTTGGGTTCTGGGTATTGATTTTAGGATATGACCGCACGTGATCTGCTACAGCAGAGATACACTCTTCCGAATGGAGACACTGCCTGGCGGGCCTCGCCTCTTGTGAATGCTGCCCTGGAGGGCAAGTTGGTCTTATTGGATGGTATTCACCGGGTCAACACGGGCACACTTGCTGTATTGCAGAGGTTTGTATGAGCCACAAAAAACAAAACACACACCCACATACAATACAAACTTCAGCAGTTGACATGGAAACCTCTCAGTTCTGCTTAAATAGTGGGTTTTGTAGATTCTGAGAAATTCATGATTTTATATCTAAGTAGAATGGCAGACTTTCATTATTACAGACGCATAGTAATATCCCAATTGACATTTTGGAAAAAGTCACTGATAAAACAGAACATTTTCATAATAGTTCTAAAAGTTTTTTTAATTTAGTTTTTACATATGCAGATTTTTATATGCAGCAAATCTCAAGATGAAGTTTCTTTAATGGGTTGTAGTTTTACTGTTATACTACCTGTGAATCGTAAGACTGCATTATTCATTGATCTGGTCACAATGGAGGAAGGAGAAAATGTAGTTCTTATATAAAATATGTAATAGTTACTATATATAGACTGAAATGCTCACTTTGTATGTTATAAACTTTAATTTTCTCTAATCATTGCTTTCTTATTTCAGTTTAAGTAGATAAAAATAGACTCACATTCCTAAAACTCTTAATGCATAACTTTATATGGAAAGTGTTTTTACCTGTGTTAACTTTAGGAGATTAATTATACTGATTTTTAAATTTCATCTTGGTTTTATAATTTGTAATTATGTGATATTAAATTTTGAATTATAAATAAAGGTCCATTAGAATATACCTCTTAACCCAAGAAAATTGATATTAAATTTTGAATTGTAAAGAAAAGTCAACTAGAATACACCTTTTAAGCCAAGAAAGTGTTCCAAGATTTTGTTCTTGACAAGGTGCAAGCACTAAATATCATTAGAATTCAGAAGCATTGTATTGATACTAATTCAATTTGAAAGCATTTGAAAATTTTGATGGTAAATTTTTAGTGATTTAAGAAGCATTTCATAAATTTACAATGTTTTTTCTTCCAGTTTGACAAATGTAGATAACATAAAATAATACTAGTCCCCTATTGTTGACTATCTCTTACATGTTTAGCTAAATAGTAACAGTTGCAGCTGCAGCCACCATTTACTGAATATACTCTGTGCTGGGTATCGTGTTAAACCAGTACTTCTCCCATTCTCAACCCTAGAACTACCTTGTATTAAGGGGAATTTCAAAATCCTGATGCCTGGACTATATCATCACAAATTCCGATGTAGTTGGCCTAACGTGAGGTCTTCACAAAAACGTTTTTAAACACTTCCCAGAAGACTCTAATGCATAACCAGGACTGAGACCAGCTATATTAAGCACGCATTTTAAACACATATTAAGTGTTTAATTTTTGCGTCAACAGTTTGAGTCCGGTATTAAATTGCCTTAATTTTATAAAAGATAAATGTTTAGAGAGGTGGAGTTATCAGCTAATAGTGGAACTCAAACCCATAGTGAACCCAGCACCAAGTCTGACTATTCCACTGCTCATGCCCATAACCTCTATATAATAGATTCTTACCTCTTCCAAGTTCCTATCGAAGGGAGATTTTGGGTTACAACTCTATCATGGTCATCAAGAGACTTGGTGATTAGTATAGGAGCTAGCATAGTGATTTTCAACTGATGTAGCATTGAAAACAATGCTACTTATGGTATAATGAAGTTTCCATTTGTGTTGGCATATGAAATAACAATGTGGTTATATTCTTATGAAGATTTTGGATATTTTAAATCCTATGATGCCAAGAGAAATATTTTTATAATAATATCTTTTAAACATGTCTCTTAATGAGACGTACTAAACTCAAGGGAGTGTATGCCAGCTGGCTTTCGCATCAGTACTCATATGTGTCTCATGGTAATCCAGCAAAACTCATTCAATTGTTTTCTTTCTTCTTTTTCAACCTTTTCCTCTGCATTACTACCTCCTTCCCTCTATCCACAATTAGTATTCATGACTATCTCCCTCTATTACAGAGTTTAGTGGTCTTCCCAACTTGAAATCATAACTTACCTAAAAAAAATTTTTGAATTCCCAGAAATTATAGATTTTAAAACATTGACTTGTTTCTATTACTATTAATGTTAGTGTTTAAAGGTGGTTGATCTTGTTTCCTGACCTTTGCTTATTTGGTTAGGTTAATCCATGATCGAGAGCTGAGCCTCTATGATGGCTCTCGGCTGCTGAGAGAAGACAGGTATCAGCGTTTAAAAGAGGAGCTACAAATGTCTGATGAGCAGTTACAAATGAGGTAATGTGGGGACACTCTTGTTCTTTTTGTTAAGTTTAAATTGATATTCTTCTTTATTCTCTGGATTAGTATCAACCCCAAATGACTATAAACAGCTAAATAATTTGATGTCATGGGCCTTCTAACAGCCACTTTCTCAAAACTTGCTGTATACTCTTAGCCTTGTCTTTAAGCAGTTGTTTAAATCTTTTATGTGAACATGGTTTTAAGAACGCAGTTCCTCCTCCATTGCCCTACCAACCCAGTTTTAACTTTGTGTCCACTCTGCAAAAATAAAAGCTGGACACACAATTAACTGGGTCAGCTTTCCTCAGCAGTCATCAAGAATTATTGGTGTTTGTCACCAGATGTTAGGTGAGGCATTGTGGCTGACTTGAACATTTCTTCCAGAGATGTTGCAAACAACTGCAGTGTGTGAAACTTGATGGAATCTTAGGAGAGAGATACTAATGAAAATAGCTATAAAAAATTAGAAAAGTTTAAATATGGACTGTATATAAAGTGGTTTCACAAACCTTTTGGAAAATTAAGTTGAAAGATAATGAACATTTTCAAGAAACCTTTTTTTTTTTTTTTTACATACTGTTGTAGAATTAGCATGAAATTTCTTAAATGTCACTATTGCAACTGCCTATGATGGAGACTATTTTTATTCCTCATAGGTGGTTATTTACTAACATGATGAAATTCAAATTAAAATATTTTCAAATGCTGCAGGGGAAAATACATGTGCTGTGTGTGTATAAACACAGAGAGAAAAAGAAGAATTGTGTGTCTTGTTGCAAGACATCAGGGATACATACCATGGACATAGTGGTTAGAAGTAGCATAATGCCACACAACATCAGCTATGCCTGAAGTTCTCCGAGGAAGTAAGGACCAAAATAGAAATGCTTCCTTTGATGAAAAAAATTTATTTTGGGAAAAGGAGTACAAATACTCTAGGCTGCTAAATATGTCCCTTCCTGCTGTTGTCCTCTTCTCTCCTCCCTGCCCCTCAGATATAGGAAGCAGAAAAAGAAAATTGGAAATAATAGTCTCATCAACTTCTTCCTATTCCTCAACTCTTCACACCCTAATCAGTGGTCTACATGGGCATGTACCCTTCTCAACTATGTAATCATCATAAAAAATAAAATTTTAAATAAAGAAAGAAGAAAAAGCTTCTAGAAATTTTTATTTTGAAAACAATTCTGAGTGTTTCCATGGTCAAGAAACAATTTTAAACATACCTGTGAAGGGCACAGTTATTATTGTATGAGACTAGTTTAAACATTTGTAGAAAAAAATGGAATTAAGACACATATTTTGATGCCAAAATAGTTTGAAATCCCTGCATATTTTTCCATAAAATTTTTGAAGATCACTTATATATATGGATTTCCAAAAAAATATTCTATCAAAATGAAATCATTTTTCATCCTGTGATCCATGAACTTTTGAAATACCCTCAAATGTTCTACATTTTTCCTTTTGATACAGAGAATGTATTCCCCTTACAAACACATAGGTTTGCCACCTATTGGGATAAAATGGACTGAATTCCTGTGAGGCAAACCTACGTATTAGTGAGGGGGATGCATTCTCTGTATCAAAAGGAAAAACGCAGAACACTTGAGGGCACGATTAGAATTGTCACTACCGTCTCCATGGGTGCACATCAGCAGGAAGCTGGAATGAAAAGCACAGCTGGGACATGCAGCCAGGCATTCTGATGCAGAATTGCACATCCCAAGCTGCATCTCACTTGGACTTCTGTTACAATAATGAAGGCGAAATGCCAGTTACAATCCTGTATTTTTTTTATATGTGTGAAGATTTTGATATGTGTTTCACTTTCATCCCTTCTTTGTCTTAGCAATAACTGTGCTCTCCTCTAAGAACATATTTTTGTTAGGTTACTTAATAGAACTGAAAAAAATACAGAATCATTTACATGATTACATCATAATGGTGTTTCTAGATGTGTTTTAAAGATATCTCAAGACATTTCATAAACCAGGGATCTTATTTTTTTTTTATGGTTTATTTATTTGTTGGAAAGGTAGATTTACAGAGAGAAGGAGAGACAGAGAGAAATATCACCCATCCACTGGTTCACTTCCCAAATGCCTGCAGCAGCCAGAGTTGAGCTCATCTGAAGCCAGGAGTCAAGAACCAGCAGCTTCCTCTGGTTCTCCCATCTGGGTGCAGGATCCCAAGGCTTTGGGCCATCCCCTACTGTTTTTCCAGTCCACAAGCAGCGAGCCGGAAGGGAAGTGGGGCATCCAAGACACAAACTGGTTCTCATATTGAATCCTGGTGCAATCAAGGCGAGAATTTCATCACTGTGCCATCACATGTCCAAATGTCATTGCATATTCACATGGTTACTCAGATATCCTCACAGAGATTCTGAAAGAGATCGATTAAAAAATCATAACATTTTCTGTAAAAATGATGAACAATGATGATGGTTGAAGCTGAATCAATCCAAAGCCAGGAGCTTCTTTTGAGTCTCCCACACAAGTACAGGGGTCCAAGGACATGGTCCATTCTCTGCTGTTTTCCCAGGACATAAGTAGAGAGCTGGATGGGAAATGGAGTAGCTAGGACATGAACTGATGTCCAAATGGAATGCCAGTGATTGGAGATGGAGGATTAGCTTGTAAGCTACCTTGCCAGCCCCTTAAATTTGAATTTCTGTGCTGCTTATATTTCCTGTACTTTAAACAGTTTTGTTGAGGCTGACATTGTGGAATGGTGAATTAAGCCACTGATTGGTATACTCCATCCTATTTCAGGGTAGCCACAGCTCAAACTGGTACTCTTGGTGTTTTTATGATGGACCTAGATTAGGCTTCTAGCAAGACACAAAATTTTGAAGGCATTTAAAATAAAACAGGAGGGCCATGTAATGAATACAAACTGGATATAAGTTTATTGCAGGAGGCTATGAAGAAAATTTTGTTGTAGGCCTGATGACATCTCAAAGCAGTGGTTTGTGCTGTGGTGGGAGTTTCATATTTGGCTGTTGTACATTAATTTATAGTAGTAGATAATTGTTTTGCTTGTCTTAATCTTAGGTTCTTGGGATGTTCTGATTTTTTAAAAAAGCTGGATGATAGCTTTGACATTGTTAACAGAATGACAAGTTACTCTGACCTAATTTCTAATCTGAAAGGTGGTTTTCTGATTTTTTTTTTCTGTTTCAGATCTATTTTTCCTATCCATCCCTCATTCCGTATCATTGCCATGGCAGAGCCCCCTGTTATTGGAAGCACAGCACAGCAGTGGCTTGGACCAGAATTTTTAACCATGTTCTTTTTCCATTACATGAAACCTCTTGTCAAAAGTGAAGAAATGCAAGTGGTTAAAGAAATGGTAAGAATGAGGGCTGCTCTAGTCTCATATCTAAAGCTGCTTTCCTGTTTAAGGTGCCCTGAAACATGAGCAGAGTTGAACATGTTTAACATATTTCCCTATTTACTTCCATGTTTCTTCACATAATGGTTGTAGGGCTCTGGTTCTGAAACTCTAACAATTTAAAGAATATTATAGAGTCTTTGGTTAAAAAAAAAAAAAAGCAGATTTGTCAAGTCCATGGTTGTAGTAGTGGAGCCAGTAGATCTGGGATGGTTACATGAACATCTAATAAGTCTAACAAGTTCTCAGGTGATTTTCATGCTGCAGTCTGGGTACTACATTTTGAGAACCATAAACCATAGATATAGGCTGTCCTTTTCTCTTTCTCCATAGAGAGGAATTCCATTTGCTTTTATATTTCACCAAAGGTGACTGCTTTAAGTTACTACTGTAAATGGAGGCCAAATATATTATCATGCATTATATTTGATAGAAAATGCTAAGTGGCCCTTGTATCTCAGGACTGTAATATATTCTGTACTTAACCTGAGTCATTATCTTGTGCTGTTGGTGTGTGTAATCCATTCTTTCCATGTCTGCCTTAACCACGCATTGTGTTAGCACTTATGGATTTCTAGAACTGTACTGCTCAATGTTACAGCACTCACCATATTAAGAAAAATTATCTTAATTCAGTTTCACAGTAGCGTTGCAAGTACTTACTAGCCAACTGGGGGATTTTTGACTGTTGTGTTAGCATAGATAAAAAATATTTCCTTTATCATAGAAAGTTGTGGTGCTATTCTAATCACTAATAATGAACTTTTTATAAAAATGCACTAATTCCTTTTGTGATAACAATGAACTGGATAATTTTAGGTTTTGTTGTGAGCATGCTTGAGGTAATGGTGTAGGCTTTAGACTTTGATGACTTTGGCTTTAAATGTCAAATTCACTTCCTATTAGCTTCCAGATCTTGGAAAAAGTATTCAACCAGAACTTGTTCAATTGAAAATAAACATGATTTCTACTTTGTACATCACATGTTAGTTTCAAAAATAAGTGAGTTAAGGTGTATATGGAATAGAATCTGGAATTTTAAAAACTTTTCCATGGTTCCTTAAAGAACCAGGAGAATCCTGATGGAGATTTTCTTTTTTTTTCTTTTAACATTTATTCATTTATATTGGAAAGGCAAATTGGATTTACAGAGATGAGATATAGAAAGATCTTCCATCCACTGACTCACTCCCAAATGGCTGCAATGGCCAGAGCAGAACCTATCTGAAACCAGGAACCAGAAACTTCTGGGTCTCCCACATGGGTGCAGAGTTCCAAGACTTTGGGCCAACCTCTACCACTTTCCCAGGCCACAGGCAGGAAATTGGAAGGGAACTGAATCAGCCAGGACACAAACTAGTACCATGGTTACATTACTCCAGTCATTGTTCAAATATTTCCTTCTGCTAGTGTAAGTTTGAAATTTTAAACTTATTATTATTGGAATAAAAATTACTTATAGTTTAATTTTATCAAATATTTAATGATGTTAAGATTTATTATTTGAAGAGAGTCTTATATGTTACTTGGAAAACTGTACTAGTGAAGTCATGGCCCTCCAATCTGTTTTAATAGTTCTTGGAAAAGCTGACACTTTTGTGCCTGTGTCACATAGTAGTTATAAATTGATTACTAAGTAAACTAATTTTGTTTCAGTAGGAAAATGCCCAAATTAAAATTTAAAGCAATTATGCTGAAACTAAAAAGAAAAAAATTTGAAATTTTTTAAGGCTATACTATCTGCAAGTTTTTTTGTTTGTTTAAATTCTTCATTAATTAATTGATGAGAGAGCTCTCATTCACACATTCACTCCTCAGATGTCCACAAAGCAGAATCTGGATCCGGGTTTCCCACATGGGTGGTAGGGACCCAAGTGCTTGAGTCATCATCTGCCACTCCTCTCTATGTGCTGTGTGTAAGCAGGAAGCTAGACTAGGGAGCTGAACCAGAAGTAAACCCAGGCATTCCAGTGCCTTAACCTCACAGCCAAGCACCAGCCTTCATAGTCCAGTTTGGACCTGAGTTAGAGACTTCTCTCAGTTCTATCCTAATGATTAAATTGCAAAAGAAGAAGAAAGGCTTATATTTAATGGCTGGATTGTTAAGGGAGAAAGAAGCGCAGGCTTCAGTATTTCTTGGATAGTTGAATTAAGTAGCTCATATATACATGAGTTAATTGTATGACTAATAATTAGAGATTTTCTGAGTACTTAAATCTAATGTTATTTATGAAGTGTCACTTTCTATTTGAGGAGATGTTCCAATTTATTTTCTTTTTCCCTCATTTCTTTCATAATATAGGTCCCAAACACACCTCAGGAAACTTTGGACAAGTTGTTGTCATTTACTCACAAACTCAGGGAGACCCAAGATCCAACGGTACGTCTGCGTTTTTTTCCATCAGATTCTCTATTATTGACATACTGAGGCTTCTTAGAGTTCAGTGATGTGAAGTCTATTTCTTAAGCTGTTATTTTTATCACTTAACGATTTGCAGTACACATATGTTTTCCTTTGATGTTAGTGTTTTAACATTTCTTCCAGCTCCTCCTGGCTTATGTTGCAGAAAAAGACTTCTAGCTCCAAAACAGCGCTCGGTGTTCATGGAAGTCTGTGCTGTTTCCCCACCGGCTCATCTGCTAAGCAGTGTTACCTATTTTTGCAGCTTCAAATACCACCTATAGGTTAATGGTCTGTTTTTGTATTTTCAACTTCTGACTTACTTTTTATAATTAATCAGAATTTCCACCCCCAGGGTGGAATGGTGGGAAGATATAAAGCTGTCACTCTAACTCTGTCAGTCTTGGCATTAATTATAAAAGGGAATTAGTGCCAGGTTTCTAATGAGAAAGTTACAATGTTTAACTATGAAAATGTATGCTATTAGGGTTTTGTGTGTGTGTTTACTTTTCATCTTGATTGTATGAGATCAGTATAAATTCAATATATCTTATACAACAAAACTGTCTTTGTCTCTTGAATCTATTCCTGTTTCTAATTTCTTGACTTTGTAAAAAAAAAAAAAAGTATCTACCATATTGCCCAAGTTAGAAAACCTTGGCATCGTTGTCAATTCCTTGCTTCCCTGCTGTGTTCGCTTAATCTGAAAGCAAATCTTGACAGTTTAGCATCTTGATATCTCATCTGTTCTTGTATCTATAGACAGTTGTTGTCCTAGTATCAGAGTCCATAATCTTTTTTTCCTGAAATAGTGTTATTTCCTCTTTACTGCTCCCTTCCCCAATCATTCATTCATCATAAACAGCTTTATTAATATCCATGGCTGTTGTCATGAATTACCAGAAATTTATGACTTAAAATAATTTATTTTCTCACTGTCTGTGCATCCAGAATCTGAACTCAGCATCATGGAGCCAGAAACAGCGTGTCCACAGGGTGGTACTTCTTGGGAGATTACAGTGGGGAGTATTTGCTGTGCTTCTTCCAGTTTTGAGTTGCCTATGGCATTCCTTGATTTCTGACCCCATCACTTCAGTCTTGCTTCTGTCCCTACCTCAACTCATCTTCCCTGTGTCTATGTCAGATTCTCTGCCTTCCTTCCTTACTGTGATATAGTGCCAGGAGCTGCATAGCAATGCTTTGGTGAATGATGGGCCACATATACAGTGGTGTCCTCAAAGTAATGCTCCGGAAGGTGTAGGGATTGTGTGAACTGGTTCATAGAAGCAGAGCTACTGTGCGTATTCCAGGTAGCTCTTGTGGCTGGGTTCCTTGTCTGTGATGACTCTGGGACTGACTGATCAAGAGCTAGGATTCCTCATCTAAGCTAGGATGGTCTCTGCTGAGGCTCTCCTGTTTACCTTTATCCTACAGTGGGGATTCTCCCAGCCATGGAACCAAAGCCATGGTTGCTGATTGATTAACTGTGTTCCTCTGTAATCTCACCAGGTTTCTGTGTTCCAGAATTCCTGTTATTCTCTTGCTACTTTCTGCTGCTTTTCCTCAGGCGTATACCTCATGACTCAGCTGCTTCATTGTTGATTAGGTTCTTCTCTGTGAAAGAGGCAGTGAATGCTGAATGTCTCTATTTAGCCACCCTGAAATTCCAACCCTATAATATTATAGAGGAGCTGAAAAATCTCCCATCTAGTAACCATGTAGCTATTGCAGTGTCATACTGTGATGCAATGATGTTATAATTATGATGCAGGTAAAAGCAAACCTGGATGTCAGTCATAATGCATGCAGTCATTTACAATAAATAATACCAGATAATAACAAATGATTATGTTACTGATCTGTGTATTCACTATACTACATTTCTTACTTTAAAATGAGCTCCTGCTTACTGAACAAGACTTATTATAAAACAGTATGCTGTGTTCTACCAGCTGCAGCTTCATACTTCTTACACTTATGGTATCTTTTGATTGTGTAATTATCTCATACTAGGTTTAATTTTGTGTTATTTTAGTCATCATGGTCTTGGAATCTTAAATATCATACTCCCTAGGGTTGTATCAGGCTATACATTTATGATAAATACAAAATTATCTAATGACATGTATCTCAGAAGCATCCTCAGTTGTTAAGGAGTGCATAACGCATAGGATTGCACGTGGGGCCACCAGAGCAATCTGAGATAATCTTGTCTCAGCAGCCTTAAGCTTGTCTTTAATCTTATCTGCAAAGTCCAGTTTCCCATAGAGTACACTGGCAAGTCCCAGAGATTAGGATGTGCATGCCTTGAGAGGGAGGGGTCACAGGCTCCCTATTAATTACCTGCAGGATCTCGTGTCCAAATATGTGTCTTATTTGTTCTTTTCAGCTGAATATTGCTCTCCCTGCTGTTCCTCAGGCTCACTAGTGTCTGCCCCTAAATAAGCTCCTTTTCCAACCCCTTCCCCTTTCCCATTTAGCTTTTTTTCTATTTAAAACTACAGCTGTGTTTGAATGTCTCTGCTTCAGATAATGCCTGGACTAATTCTTTCTCCCTGGGAGCTGGTTGCTGTTGCTCTGCCCTGTCAGCTTGCTCTCAGACCCCTCAGGCAGGAGTAACCTCTGTCTCTAGATTGCACTCATGCCTCGTGATATTTACTTCTTTATTGATATATTGCTGTTGTTGTACAGTATATGTTTATCTCCTCAGTGTTTGAACGGATTGAGATTCAATCTTGTTCATCCTTTGTCTTCCTTTCATTTTCCGAGCCTGATGCCTGGCACTTTGTAGATACCTAAAGCTTTAGTAAATGAATGAATAAGTTCATTAATTTCCAATTCATTAACAAATATCCCTAGCCCTTTCTGTCTGGAGAGCATGGTAAGTTTTTAGAAAAGGGTAATTCCTTAAGAGGAAGAAAAATGACTTCTAACCATTTCTGATTAAAGCTTTGGTATTTTAAGCCTTAGATACTAATAAGCAAGCTAATAAAAACCCTTTGAGATATTCTTTTACATTGCATAACCATGGTAACCAAGGGACTGTGCCTTGTAAGATAAAGCTAGGAATAGGAATTTGATATTATATATTAAATATGTTAGAAATTTGTAAATGAAAGTATATTCTCAATTTTAAAGGTAATAAGTGAGCAAATATTATCAATGAGTCAACTTTAAGTATAGTTCTGCTTTTAGGGGAACTAGACATTGTTGTAAAGCATTTGGTGCTATCAGTTTAGTCAACTTATGTTCCTCAAGTTAATGAGAAATGCTTAGTGATTGTTGGAATGGAATGTGAAGGCACAATTCAGTGCCAGGCTTAGAATGAGATTAGAATGTGGTTGTGTGGTTCCCATCAAATTATCTTGTTTTAATGGGATTCCTGTTATGAGAATGCTCTGTTGGAGTTAATTATTAAGTATTTTCCATGATTAAAATAGTAATTTTTCATGGTTGTAGGCATTAAAAATATTTCTGAGTCATATTTAGCTTCTGGTATGTTTAGTCTTATCAGCAGAATAGGTTTTTAAATTTTTAAATCAAATTTAGTATAGTTCATAGATACAGTTTTAAGAATACGATATTTTCTTCTTTCTCCCTTTCTATTTTTAGTCTGCAAGACAACATATTTTAAATGGCCTCAAAGGCCGGAGCTGAGTTGAACTGAAGCCTGGAGTCAGGAATCCGTTCCAGGTCTCCCACATGGGTGCAGGGTCCTAAGCCTGTGGACCATAGTCTTCTGCTTTCTCAGGTCACAAATAGGTAGTTGGATGGGAAGTGGAACAGCTGGAATGTGAACTGCACCTATATGAGATGCTGACTCTTGCAAGCAGAGGATTAGTTAATTAATCCATCATAACAACCACCCCCCCATTATTGCCATTTTAACGAATAGGAAATTGAAGCTTGGGGGTGTTAATTTGTCAGCATCATAAAACTAGTAAGTAGGAGCTTACTTTGTCTAATTCCAAAGCCAGTAAACTTTAGCATTGTGTTATGCTGCCTGCCAGGAGAATTTCAAGTTCAAGTTCACAAGTAGTTGTTGTGTTCTTAGTGTATATTGGTGACTCTATTAGTGAAATTTGGGGACATGTTAAAAAATGTACTGGAATTATTCTATCAGTGGAGGAAAGATAATAAGTAACAAACTGGTATTTAGGTGATAACAAGGCAAAGAGCCTGTGGTCATTAGTTTAAGCTGTCCACATCTTTTTTCTCAATTTCATAAATCACAAATTTCCTTATTGCTTTAAACATTTTCAAGATATTATAGCAGATTGGTTTTGGAAAAGCAGAGGGAAGAAGTAGTGACTTTATTAAGGCCATTTGTGGATCAGGTCTGAGCTGCGTTATATAACATCCTTCTTCCATGTAACCAACCCCCACAGCCAATGTGTGTGTATCATTGGAACAACTAAACTACCTGAAGAAAAGGGTTTAATCAAGTGGTTAAGATGCCAAATATATTAGCAACATGTTGCATCATAGTGAGGTGTCCAATATCTGCTCTGGCTCTTGACTCCTGTTACTTGCCTGTGCAGGTCCTGGGAAGCCGGGGTGATGGCTGAAGTGCTTGTGTCCTTGCCACCCATGTGAGAAAACTGGATTGAGTTCCTGGCTCCCTGCTTTGACCTCAGCCCATTCATTGTGGGTGTCTGGAGTAGATAAAAGCTTGCTCTTTCTTTGTCTCTCTGTCTGCATATATACTTTTAAAATATATATGCATATTATAATTTAAAAATACATATGCACACACACATATGTTTTCTTTTGGAAAGGCAGATAAGATTTACAGAGAGAAGGGGAGACAGAGAGAAAGATCTTTGATCTGTTGGTTCACTCCTGAGATGCCTACAACAACTGGAGCTGAACTGATCCAAAGCAAGGAGCCAAGAGCCAGCAACCTCTTCTGGGGCTTCCACCTAGGCGCAGGGTCCCAAGGCTTTGGGCTGTCCTCTACTGCTTTCCCGGGCTATAAGCAGGAAGCTAGATGGGTAGTGCAGCAACCGGAACATGAACCAGTGCCCATATGGGATCCTGGTGCTTCAAAATGAAGATTTAACCATTGAGTCATCATGCTGAGCCCCTTATCAAATATTTTTAATATATTTAATTGAAAAGTACTTTTAATTTTTTTTTTTTTTTGCTGGTCTTCGAGGATTTGAGTGTAAATTGGTTTCTGTTTATTGGTAACACATTAATAGCACATTTAAGTTTGACCTTGCCCTTCAGGAATAATGAACCCTAACAGAAGCCCATCTGGAAGGACTTTTAGCAAGCTGAAACAAGTCTCTAACAGGATGTCTTTGTTTTTTCATAGGCACAGTCATTGGCAGCATCTCTTTCTACAAGACAGCTCTTGCGTATGGCTCGGAGGCTGTCACAGTACCCTAATGAAAATCTTCATGGTGCTGTTACTAAAGCCTGCCTTTCAAGGTAACCATGTTTCCCTTTTTTCGCTGAATTCATGTATCCAGGTCTTAATAAGCTAAATTATAGTCACGGATCTGCAAATATGCTCTAATATATTGCTGTTTCAATGTTGCTCCCAATTATTCAAATTCAGGTAGTACAATGTATTGTCTTACTAAGGCATAACAATTTAAGATGTGTTTTGTAGATAGACAATTGTATCTCATGTTTGCTTGGGTTATTTGGTAGTAAATAGTGGATGTGGGACTACTATAAGGCTGGTTTCTGTCTCTACTGGCTGTGGTTGTTGAGTATTGCATTTACCACCTCCTGAATTTGTCTTGGAACTTTCCATGCTTGATATTACTGCCCCCTTGCCAAAATACAACATTTTTCAGTCTTCCACTAATAGTTTCCCTATTAGTTTAGAAGTATTTCTAAAACTTTGGACTTGCAGAATTATCTTATAGAATGACATTTGTATGATAAACTATTTTGAAAGAAAAGATTGTTAATAAGAGTAAAACAATTCCCATAATCTCAGGGATGTCTTTTAGATTTTTTTCATATGATCTAACACTTATTTTTATGGTGGGTATGCTTATGGTCCATTCATTCCTTAATACGAATTTTAAAAGAGTGAGATTTCAGCATGGGAGATTCTGTAATTGCTGTCTTTAAATTTCAGTGAAGCTGACAATTTTCCTATTGTTCAATTAATCTACTTGTGTTGTACCTTGAAGTTGTTCCTCCTGTGGTATGTCCAGCTGGAAATATACTCCTCTATATGTGTTCAAAATAATTCTTTAAAAAAACTAGAGTTAGGAAAAATAATGAAATAGATTCCCTTATCAAGTAGAAGAATTTTAGACATCCAAATAAAAAATAGAAAATAAGTTTCAATTGCATATTTCTCAGACTTATGAGCTGAAGAGAATATAAATAGCAAGATAGCTTTCTTGCCTACTCAATATTTCAACTGAGCCACAAACATGAGATCAGAGATGTAATCCACATAAAGAGCAGAAGGCTGGAGATGAGACTACAGCTGAAGGACTGTACTGTAGAATACAGGGGACAGTAGAGAAGGGAGTGGGAGAGGGTGGAAAGGAAGGGAAAGGGGGAAGCCCTCCACCTACAAAACTATATAATGGAAAATAAGAATTAAAAAAGAAGTAAACAAACAATGCTTAGCAATATGAATTTATAGAACCTAAGACAAAAATAATGTTTTGGTTATGTGAGAGAATTTTTAATAATTCATAGAAAATAAGTTTATTTTGGCACAAAAATATTTGAAATCTACTCATAACTTTAATAAAATTTTTAAATTAGTATCATATTATTATTATCATTTTATGATACCCTTCTATAGACCCTGAGATATCCCCTATCCCTCCCATAATCCACCCCACCACTGAGTTCTCCCATATCATTAAAACAGCAGAGTACTTCATAGACAGTCATATGTCCATCATTGTGGGCATGGGCAATGGCAGAGAGTACAGCGTCCCATTGTCAAAACACATCAACAGTTTCATTAGGAGTTCATCTTTGATCCAGAATTAGAGATGCACACTGCACCATATCCTCACATCTGGACATGTCAATCTCTACTACACAGTCACTATAAATCCCCCCAAGTAAAAAGCCACAAGACAAAATCGGTAATAGGGAAAAAAAAAACCCAGAAATTTACAATCTTATGAAGTTAAACAACATGCCACTGGATATGATAGTCTTCATTACACAGTTACTATACTTCCCCTTAAATGAAAAGCCACAAAAATAAAAGCAACAACAGGAAGAAAAAATAGAAACTTACAATGCCATGAATTTAAATAATATGTTGCTGAATGACTAATGCGTTGCTGAAGAAATGAAAAAGGAAATCAAGAACCTTCTTGAAGAAAATGATGCTACTGTAAGATCTAAGTCATTAAAGAATTTAATGAGAACAAACGTGTTTTGAAAAAATGAAGCTAAAAACATCAAAATCCATGAGATATAATTTCCACTCATCTTTGTTGGTGAGATGTATATTCTGTAGGCAACAAATAGATGGGTTTGTGGGTTTTTTTGGTAGGGGGTTGTGTTTTTAATACAGTCTACTAATCTATAACATATGATTGATGAGCTTAAGCCATTTATATTCAGGGTTAACATAAATAGGTGGTAATTTCTTGCTGTCATTTAGCAATGGTTTGTTTATTGATTCAGTCTTCTGTTGTTATTTTGCTGGAATGTTCTTCACATTTGCCTTTGGTTTTGGTAGATGCCACTCCTTTTCTCTGTCAAGAATCCATCATCTGATGAATAGATAATATTTGTAACACACAGTGGAGTATTATTCAGCAGTAAAAAGAAATTTGGTAATGATACATATTAAAACATGAATGAACTTTAAAAATGTGAAACTGAGTAAGAGAGGTTGTACATAAAAGATTACATATGTATAATGCTAATTGTGTACACTGTCAAGAATAGGGTAATCCATTAAAACAGAAAATGGCTGGTGGTTGCCTCAGACTGTTGGAGTTGATACTGGAGAGTCATCGCTAGAGGGTAAGAAAAATATTCTAAAATTGAAGTAATGTCTACACAACTCTGAATATATTTACATACCATTGAATTGCATGCATTAAATAGGAGAATTGGGTAATATGAGAATTATTTATCATTGCACCCAATATTTAAAAAAAAGAGAGAGGGAAGAAAAAAGATAGCAAAGCCAGAATGAGAAGATTACATCTTATATACCAAGGAGGCTTTCAAAAAGAAATAAGCCTTAGTGATCCAGTGCTGGATTTATGTGTCCAATTCAGGACAAGAGATGTGGTCATGAGTGTATTTGAGGTTGAAATGCTATTGCTGAGACCTCTGCATTAAGGATTATCCTCAAGTGTTCCCTCTCCTGATAGACTACAATGTTCTGCTCACCAGCCCAGAGACATGATGAATCACTAGAACTTGGGATGTGAAGGTAGGAGGAGGACAACAAAAATGTCACCTGTGTCAGTCAGAAATGCAGAGATAGATGTCCGTGCAAAAAGGTTTGATTTGGGATTTATAAATCTTAGGATACCCACACGCACGTACATGTTTGGGGGTTTTTTGGAGGAAAGAGGAAAACTACTAAGATGTTCTCAGTGGCACTTGGCGATACAGAATAACTGGTGAGCCCTGATTGGCTATTGACGGCAGTTACTTAGTGCAAGTCACAGCAGGCTGTTTTGTTGGGTTTGACTTTCAGGACAATGTGTCATGTTAGTATTCCTAAATAAATGACCAGCTGTTATTGAGCTGCTATTGCTTTGTGAGACTCCTGTTATAAACTGCAGTTTGAAAAAATGTGTTGTGTGTGACGGCACCTGTTACTAACTGCATCATAAAGCAGAACCCTCCCTTTGTGTCCTCCCTGGAATGATTTTGCTAGGGCGATTGCATTTTGAGTGTGAAGACTTTCGAACATGTGAGAAATCAAATGCCAGAATTGCTTAGATGTAGATGTCCAGGGACCATGTTGGTAGGATCTGCAGGGATGACGACCACCAGGAGCTAAATTAATGTAAATACCAACCCAGTATGAATGAATTACCTATAGGCCTTAGTAGAAACTTCAATCTTGAAAAACAAATCTGCAGCAATACCTTATACAGCCCTTATCTTATCTAAATGAGGTCACTATTAGGAGCCAAAAACCACAGTTCTATAAAAGCAAATATTCACGAGAGTGACTTACCAGATATGACGTTTAGAACAAATGGAACTCTAAGAACTCAAAATAGTACAACAGGTTGAGGCCATCAGATATGCATATTAATATGATTTTAAAATTAGAAATTAATAACAAAGAATAACAGAGAAGGGAAGGCAGAGGTGAATTTGAAAGAAGAGCCATACAACTTTTTGAAATAAAGAAGATAACCACTGAAATGAAACAAACACATTTAGTGAACAAAGAAGAGCTTATGCATTTGAAGAATAATAAGCTAGAGGAAAAATAGCATAGGCTGCAGATCAGCTAAATAAAGGGATGGGAAATATAATAAGGCTTTTCACAGACATGAACAACAGGATGAGAAGTTCCATTATATGTTTAAACACAGTTTAAGAAATCAGAGAAAAAATAAAATGAGAGGAAATAATTGTTCAAAGAAATAATGACTAGGATTGTTCTAGTACTGGAAGGCATGGGTAGCCTATAGATTGAAAAAGCATATTAATTCCAAAGTAGAACAAATAGTGACAAATCTACACCAAAATATGTTGTAATACTACTGCAAAGTATTAAAGATAGAGATGAAATGGTGAGAAAAAAGAAGAGAACAGAGATTAAGCTGAGACTCTCAGATCAGCAACAATAGGTGCCAGAGAATTTGCATAACGTCATGAAAATATTGAGGAAAAATAACCATTAATCCCAGAAGTATGCCTAGCAAAATACACTTTCAGTTGAACATCAAGTTTATGATTTCACGTAAACAAGTACCGAAGGATATTTTTCAGCAAGAATGAGGCTAACTCCAGAAGGAAAGACTTGTCATATAGATAGCTAGGTCATTAAATTTCAATATTTTTTTTTTAAATAAAGTAGCATGGCTAGCATTGTGGTGCAATGAATTAAGCCTGGGAATCCTATATGAGTTTTAGTTTTAGTCCCAGCTGTTCCACTGCCTATCCAGTTTCCTGCTAATATACTTAGAAAAGCAGATGGAAGATGATTCAAGTACATGGGCCTCTGCCACACATGTGACAGAGCAGAAAGAAGTTCCAGACACCTTGTTTCAGCCTGGTCCAGCCTCAACTGTTTTGTCCATTTGGGGATTGTATTAGCTGTGCAAGATCTCTCTCTCATCTCTTCCCTTCCCCTCTCTCTATGCAACTATGCCTCTTAAATGAATGAATGAACTAATACCTTAAAAATCAAGTAGCAAAAATGAATTTGTGAACAACAGGATAACACTAAAATATTAAACAACAGAATATAGAAATGGGAAAAAAGCAAATGATTGATTATTTAG